GTCCAGTGAAGGAGGCAGCTGGGTCTTGATGTGCCTCATTACGAGCCTCTCGAAGCACTTCATGAGGATGGGTGTGAGTGCAACAGGATGATAGTCATTGAGGCAAGACACTGGAGATTTCTTCAGCATGGGGACAATGGTGGTGGCCTTGAAGCACGCTGGAACAACGGTGCTGCTTAGCGAGATGTTAAAGATATCTGTAAGAACTCCCGCTAGATGGTCTGCACACTCCCTGAGCACTCTGCCAGGAATGTTGTCTTGTCCAGCAGCCCTCCGTGGGTTAACTCAGAAGAATTTTCCTCACATCAGCAGTGGATAGGCACAGTACCTGGTGACTAGGTGGAGGGGTGGTCTTTCCTGCTGCCATGTTATTCTGTGTTTCAACCCGTGCGTAGAAGTCATTCAGTGCATCTGGCAGGGAGACATCACTGTCACAGGAGGGAGATGTGTTCCTGTAGTTGCTGAGGCGCGCTTCACCTCTCTGATAGCTTGTGACAGTTTGGCCGTCTATGTTCTTAGGGCTGCTCTAAAGGCTGAATCATGTGCCTTCAGCAGAATGCGCACCTCAGCAGTCATCCATGGAGCTTTGCGTGTGGTGATGGTCCTGGAGATAGTAACATCATCAATGCACTTGCAGATATAGCCAGTCACTGATGCTGTATATTCCTCTCGGTTAACAGAATCATTCTCAGTGGCAGCCTCCCTAAACACATGCAGTTTGCTCAAAGCTGTCTTGAAGAGCAGAGATGGCTCCTTCTGGCCAGGTTTTCACCTGCTTCTGGATTGGTTTGGAGCGTCTGATGAGCGGTCTGTATGTGGGTATCAGCATTACAGAGATGTGGTCTGACTAGTCGATGTGGGGGTAGGGCTCCGCCCGAAACATGTCGGAAACGTTAGTGTAAACAAGGTCCAGCACTTTCGCCCCTCTCGTTGCAAAGTCCACATGTTGATGGAATTTTGGGAGCACTGACTTGAGATCTGCCTGATTAAAGTCACTAGCAACAATAAATAGTCCATCAGGGTGCTTGTTCTGCAGTTCGCTGATGGCTCTACACAATTCACAGACTGCCTCCATAATGTTTGCGCTGGGGGGGAGTGTAAACTGCTGCTATGAACACAGAGTGAAATTCACGAAGGAGGTAAAATGGCCTGCATCTGACAAATCATCTGGAAAGTTTTCACTAAGCCACGCAACCACATAAAAACCAAAACGCAGCAGTCTCTGAACTCTCGTTGGGTAGTCCACTGGAGCCTGATGTAGTCCAGTTTATTGTCCAGTAAGCAAACATTTGCAAGAAAAATTGCCAGTATAGCGGGTCAGCTAGGGTTAGCCTTTAGCCTAGCATGGACCCTAGCACTCTTCCCACGTTTCTGCCTCCTCGCGCAGCACTTTCACTTTATGTTACTAATGAAGAACACAGTAACACATTGTTCATTAGTAATAAGTCACTGTGTTTCACTTTATAATTCTCTTCCTGATCCTCATTAACTCCTAGTTCATTAATAATGAGTTACCATGTGTTTCACTTTATAATACCATTCAATACCATTAGTTTTAACCCACCATGTGTTTCACTTTATGATACTGTTCCTGATCATCATTAACCTTAAGGACCTGGAGCAAAATGGTAGGTCACTTCTAGCCTTCATAACTTCAGAACGGTTTAAGATACAACCATGATCCACATATCAGGAAGTTTAGCAGACCCATCCCTAACTAGCAAGCATGACTTCATCGAGATGCAACATCAGCATCAGTGAGTAATGCGGCTCAGAAAATCACCTAAAATCCTGATATTGTTGCTCTGCTGTTTGGCCTTCATATTCCAAGGGTTAAAACAGTGACATGATTCACACATCAGATCACTCATCAGACTCTGCCCTCAACACCCAGAGTGATTTCATCCACCTGTGACCATCCATCAGCCAGCAATCCAGCTTCAAAATCACTCAAACCCCACTCGCTACTGTTATATCACATCTCTGCTTTTAGCCTTCATATTATAATACAAAGGGCTTTCAGATGATTTTGAGTATTAAAAATATCTGATATTAAATATGCAACTCAATTTGTAATTAAAAATAAATCCTGTTTTGCTGTGTATCAGAGTTTTAGCACTGAGCATGAATCCAAGAGGACAGAAAATGAATAAAAAAACATGTCCGCCTTATGCTAATTGTTTATTTTTGCTCATAATAACCAATAGAATGAATCAACACCAAAATTATTGCACTTTCAGCTCACAGACACTCCAGACTAACAATTTCTGAAAAGATAACTACTACTGCACTTGTTTTCAAGATCTATATAATTAAAAAAATACAAAATTTAGCAGGCACTAGGTAAATTCTTGATCAGAAATGACCCAAATTCATAAAGATTTCAAATTTCTGTTAGCATTTACATGTCAAACAATGCCATATCTGAGTAGCCTAGGGTCTCCTGAAAATAACAACATATGGCATGTAACTTTCACATGTAAATACTTTATAATTGCAACTGTAATTGTAATTGTTGACCCAAAAAATACCACAAGAAATTCCCTGAAATTTTAGATCTCTAAGGGTTAACTCCTAATAAAGAACACAGTAACAGCTTGTTCATTAGTATTAAATTACCATGTGTTTCACTTTTTTATACTGTTCCTAATCATCATTAACTCCTAATGAAGAACACAGTAACACCTTGTTCATTAGTGTTAAATTACCATGTGTTTCACTTTATTATATTGTTCCTGATTATCATTAACTCCTAATGAAGAACACAGTAACACCTTCTTCATTAGTAATAACTCACCATGTGTTTTACTTTATGATACTCTTCCTGATTATCATTAACTAATAAAGACCACAGTGAGACCTCGTTCATTGGTAATGAGTTACCATTTGTGTCACTTTATAATGTTGTTCTAGATTATTTTCTTTCCTAATGAAGTACACTACAATCTCATTCATTATCAAACATATATGAATTGCAATATCACTTGGTTATATTTACAAGAACCTTTCCACAGAATGTGGAAGTAGAACACATACACAGCCACATATTTCTGTTAGCCATCTCCTCGATTGTCCCTGCCCTCAAAAGGAATTTCAAAGGGTTTAGATTAATGTTCAGAAGAAAAAACACTGGAACACGTGCCACCATAAAAAATAATGTTGTTTTGTATTCTAAAGATGAGAGGTAAGCAGACTGTTCTACAGGATACTGTAGTACTTCAGCAATTGTCCTATTAGAAGGCTGATTTGCAAATTGGTTAATTCTGCCAAATATGAAGGTGAGTTTTAGCTTTTTAAGGTTGCTGATCAAAACAAACACATGAGGGTCACTACTCAGTACAGTGTAGTGTAGGGCCCCCTGCCTCCTTTGAGGATACCTGTTTCTGTAACTAAAAATTGAGGTTATAATAATTTATATTTTAGATTTCTAAGACTTTGTAGTTCCTTAAGTGTTAATGCAGCACTATTCATTTATCCTGCTTAGTTCCTGCATAGTAACCTATTGACAATGAAACAGTATTATCAAGTGTTACATTTGTTTTTGATGAATAAAACTCAATGCATACCATTACATTATTCTTAATTTGATGAAGGAAATAAAAAAAATCCTTTAGTAAAATGATGTTTTAAATTCCTATTTCCTAATACTATTATATTGTATGTTTTTTTCCAGGATAAAAAAAATAACAACAGGGCCAAAAACAGTCCAAAATAGCCTTTGCCAGATTTATTCAAAGAATTTGTCAGACAAAAACAGTTTTTGTGATGCTGACAGAAACAATAAGTCATTCAAGGAAATCATTGGTTAAATACACAAAAAATTATAAACTGATTACAATAAAAGGAAAAAAAAGTAAATAAAATGAATAGTTTCAAAAAGGCCTGAGCATTGCTGGCTCTCAGTAGCTTGGCTGGACTCAAAACAAGCTGATAACATCTTTCTTGCCAAGCTACTGTTGATCTCCTGAGTGTCAAGCTGTTGTTGACTCTTGTTGTGTGCTAACCTGCTGTTCACTGCCTACATCCAGAGTTAACCCCTTTTAGGCTAAATTTTCACCATCGCACGATGGTCTCAGCCACCAATTTCATGTTTGTAAAACATTCTTTGTGCATAAAGCTACAGATTTGAACTTGGGTAATATGTGCTGTTCTTTTTTATCTTTTTTGTTCTTTAAGCTACCTTTTGTGACACAGTGACCTGTAATTTATGGCACACGGCCACCAGGAAGGGTACAAACTCTACAATTAGGAGCCCGAGCTCTTTCAGGAACAAAGGTCACAAACCAGTAAGGATACTAGGTAGTTTGTTCTGTTTTATCCTGACCGCATACCCAGTAAATACACAGGTCTATGAATCACATGTGATTAAATCAGATCATACCATATAGAATATATAGCTATTTGCAGCAAAATCACAAATGACAATGGCAAAAACAGCAAAACAATTAATGATGAAGTAATAGGTAAACAGGACATTTTATGTTTCAGTATAATGTTTCTTAAGTGTAGTTTTCGCCTAAACAATGATTTGACCTGCTTCCTTTCCAAAATATTGTTAAAAGCTCTTGTTTAAACTCTTTGGGCTGTGCAGTCCTTGCATTACTAACGTTACTAGTTACAACAGGTGTTTTACACTTTTACAAAGTTACTTGATATGAAACTCAAGTTCAGCTCATCCTACCAGCTGGAAATGAACATTTTGAAAAAAAACAAAAAGTAAAAAAAGTGACTGATTTTTTCCAAATTTTTGACTTACGTTAAAATAACTTATTTTCTCAAAAAATAACGTAAGTAGAAATAGTCACTTTCTCAAAGTGTAATAACTTTGTTAATTTGAATGAAAGTTCTTAGCAGCTAATCCACTAAAGTGGCTTCCCCCACTTGTGTAAGCGGACAGCGATTACCGCCTCTTTTTAGTCAATCTATTTTCACACACATTTGGAATTAGAATAACTTCCTTATTCTGTTTGTTATTACTGCTGTCATTGTCTACTGTTGATTAAACTCAAGCATTAATTTAAGAATCATTTGTTTGCTTAAAATACTGTTACCGTTAATACAGTTTCCCTTTAAAAGGCACTTTTTCATTCATTGATTAATATTTTCAAAATGTCACATCTCTGTGAAGGTGATTATCTTTACAGTATTACCTACTTTAGAAAGAAGAATCCAAGAGCATCAACATCTTCCCCACTTCTCACTTTAATCCCACGAAATATCCCTAAACCCACATCAATGGACACAGGCGGGCTCATGTTTGGGTAATTAGTAGAGAATGTAGCAGTCTTCCCCGTTTTCCTCACAACTTCAAACTGAAGACCTCCCAGACGATTCTCATCGTTGTTTGGCCACAATGTCAGTGAACGGAAACGATCACCGTCCTCAAATGTGAATTCCTGGATATTGCCATATGTAAAGCCATACATATTCTCTTGATTATTGCTGAGCAACACATGGAGAGCATGCACCTGGAGAAGAGAATTATTTCTCATTACTTGCATATCATTGCATTTTGGTTAACTTCCCTCATATCAGTTAAACTGATGGGATCAGTGAGACAGTTAAAGTGTTATTTACATATAGAGCAGCTTGTATGTGTTTATGGGTGTGACATTAATGGTACAATTACAGTAAAATTTTTGAAACCTTAGCAGTTTTTTCTGTATCTTCTGAAATTAAGTCAAATATCCAGACCAACAGAGACTCACTGGTTGGATTTGCAATGTGCAATAAATATAAATGTAATCAGAGAAAGAATACGAAATGTGATATAAAAATATCTCACTCACTTTAAACATGTCTAGCCAAACCGTGATCTTCTTCAGTGTCACACCAATATCATGAGTCAAAATGTATTGACCTCCTCCAGCGCCACCCACCAGAGTGCCTGGCAATGATTTTGAGAAGTGTTTATTCCCCTCAAATTTATTACATAGACAACAGTAATGTAACTTCTCATTTAAGCAAATAGCACAAATTGCTATACTGAAATAATAGTGCTAAAAGCCAGAGGTGTGGACTCATTTGAATCATTTGAATATGATGACTTGAGACTTGACTCGAGAAAATCGAGTAAGGCTTGCAACTTGACTTTGACTTCAATACCAGTGACTTAGACTCTGACTCTGACTTCAGCCTTATGACTCAGAAAGACTCGAGACCCAAAGTGGAAGAAACATGGAGAAAGTGACTGCAGATGGGACTCTACACAGCCGCTTACTGTTCATGTGAATGGATTCGTTTCCTACTGTAAATTGAATGTACAGCAGTGTCATCAGATGTCTGTTACTGAGCTTAATGCTTGGCTTATTTTATTTCGGAAGACCAGTGAAGCGTTAGAGCTCAAGTTCACCTCCATAAGCTGGAAACAAGCTAAGCATCAACAGCATCAATGCACCCTCGCTAAGCACTTAAACTCTTACTAGAGAAACTCACCAGATGAACTGACCATTTTCCTCATGTTAGCAAAACAAAAGAAACACAGCTCTCTGTTCAACTGATTTTAATAGCTTCTGTAGGTAAAACAAGCAGAACATTCACTACATAGCTGAAGTTGACTTGTTATTCACCACCTTCGTACTGGAATTTGTCGTTCCACCTTAAATGGTGCAGCGATCAGGTGCCGGCATGTAACTGCTGGTGGAACGGAAAGGTGGAACGGAAAATTCGACTAAGAAGCTGCTGGCGACTAAAAAGTCAACTTCAACTTCGTACATTCACTATCATTTTGCTGTCTTTTCTGTAAAATTTGTTCAGCTCGGTTGTTTGGGTTTCTGTTGCCTAAATTCAATTTAAACTAGTTCTTAGCGCTGATCTAGTTTTTATTTTAATCCTGAGTGCCCAGTGTTCCCAAAAATTATCAAAATTATCTTCAAATATAAAGTTTTCTTTTTTAATCATGTGTAGTGCACTACACTCAAAGATTCCTTTGCATGATTAAAAGGTTCTTTGCATCATGAAATGGTTCTTCAGATTGATAGAGAATGTGATGCAGAGGGTTCTGTATAGAATCTTTTTGAAAAGGGTTCTATGTAGCACCCAAATGGGGTCTTCTATTGTTACAAGCTTGACATTGTCACAGTAGAAGAACCCATTTGGGTGCTGTGTAGAACCCTTTTCAGAAGGTTCTACATAGAACCATCTACAGCACATTCTTAAGAACCCTTTCATGAAGCAAAGAACTCATAATCATGCAAGAGGTTCTTTGAGTGTTCATGGTTCTTTATAGAACACTTTTCTTTAACAAAAACCCTTGAATATCCATCCTTTTTAAGATTGTGTTTATCTGTGTACCGTGGATTTTGTATTTTACTTGACAGAGTAAAGAAATTAATGAAAAATTAATATACAGCCACACACTACTAACATGCTGTCATTAAAAAGCTCTAGTACTGTTATCCTTATTCAATGTTATGGCCTTAAATTAGCTGAAGAACGATTACTGACTTGTTTAGGATTCAAAGATTAGGAGTATTGACTTGAGATTTGACTTGAGACTCGCCTGTACTGACTCTGGACTTGAATCGAGACTCAATTCTCTTGACTTGGGATTAGAGTGTAAAGACTTGAGACTTACTTGTTACTTGTTCCCACCTCTGCTAATAGCTACTAAAAGCACAACTGCAAGCATATTTTGTGCATTGTAAGGCTGTTAGGAAAACAATCAGCATTCCCTGAAAAGCTTTTTCTACAGAGGAGAAAGAAAAAATGTTATTCTTTCAGAATCTCCTTTTAATTCTAATTTGAAGTGTTTTTACAAGCTATTACTAAAAAAAGTTATTCAGCTGTTCACATGTGCATGCTTTTGTTAAGCGGCAGGTTAGCTGTCTTATCTGTGACTGAGCAGGGTTTGATCCTCACTCAGGCAAGGGCACCAGTGCTCTAATGTTAAGCCAGTGTTAATGTTCTAAGCAAACTAAAAACATCAGTTTGGTGTTGTGCATGTGTAATATAGTTTGATATGTTACAGCAGTCCTTATTATGAAAACTATGATTATGAATCTATGAAATTATGAAAATACAACTAATTGTGCAGCAAACAACACAATTATAGTAGCAAAACTTTAATCAGATTTTGAAAGCTTTTTCTATGTATCTGGAGGGACTGATATGTCTCGAACTTTTCTTTCAGCTTAAAAAAAATTAAATGTGTCACAGCATGTAATGAGGACTGTGTATTGCTGAAGCCTGGAAAGAGCAAAGACCATTTACTCACTTTCAATCCTGGTGGGAATTTCTGCACGAACAGATTCACTGGCTTCACTCACTCCCACCGCACTCACAGCTTTATACCGAACTAAGTATTGGTTTCCTGGCTGCAGTCCAGTCAGTAAGAAAGGTTTCTTTGCATCTGGAGTGTCTCTGGTCTCCCAGTCTTCCCCCTGGATTGCTTCACCTTCCTTTACCATCCTGTATTCTACTCTAAACCTCAACGTTTCTCCAGTTGGGGACTTTTGAAGATTTAAGAATACAGCTCCATCTTGGGTCTCCACTGCTGGTGGAGGAGGCTTGGACACAGATTGGAACTTTGGATCTGTCAGTGTGCCTTTTTCATAAAGTCGGATGGAGGAACCTGGATTGGCGGGGTCAGAGATGGAGGCAATGACAAACTGCATTCTCTTCTCATTTTTATTGGCCTGTGAGAAACTTGTAAAGAGTGAAAGGTTCTGTCTCATGTTTTTGGAAATTTCAGTGGAAGTGAACCAAGGCTCTGTTACGTGGGGATAATATGCTTCTGTGTTTGCTTGCTCTAGCTTTACAAGTGCTTCAGAATTCACAAAATCTTTCAGTGCGTCCAGGTATATGTCTTTGTACTTCAGAGACGTGAAAGACAAGCATACCACTACATCTACGTCAGGATCAAAGAGAATGGAATTAAGCAGACCTAGTGATGTCACAATCCTGATGTCCTCCAGCTCACCGATATAAGAACTTAATATGCTCAATTCAGTTGTAAAGTCATCTAACCACTTGTTCAAGTTGTTTGCAGAAAAGAGTGACCTGTATTGAGCGTTTAGGATGTTAGCCAGTGCCAGCTCCTCCTGTGTTCCATTACGAATAGCTGGCAAGCTTCTAAAGAGAGATTTCTGGAATGCAATCTTGTAATCACTAAACAAGCCTTGAAACATTTGCAGCCGAACTTTCAGGTCAGGAAAATCATCCACGCTTCTGTTTCTGACCAAATCGTTGCACCTCCTCTCTATTTTTTCTAGTTCCTCCAGCAAATTTTCTATTTTAGACACCACATATTCGCTGATTTCTCTGACCAAACTGGCTGCCTTATCATTCAACAGTTTGAGGGGATACAGCCACACTCTTACTGGTACATCATCCTTCTCCTCTCTCAGCAGGTTAGGCAGCTTATTATACACTTTCAGGGCCTCAGAGTATGTTGTGGGGTTTTCTTCTAGCTTATAGTCACCATGAAATGTGACACTGATACTCTCAGCCATCTTCTTTTCACTCTCATTCAACTTCAGGTCTCCATCTCCCTCTATCGACAGGGAAGGCATCTTCTTGATCAGAACATGAAGATTTCCTTTAACTTCCTGTTTGTCCTCATCATGTGCAGCTGTATGATCAAACACCATGAAGGCCTGAGCTCCATACAGTGCAGCTGTGATGACATGAGTGGCTGTACACTGGTCAAACACTTGTGGATAGGTGATTTTTCCAAGGTCAGCCATAGAGAGTTGTTTGAATGTTGTGGTCTGGCTGTAATGCATGGTGATCCGCTCCTGACGTGCTGAAGATTTGCTATCATGCAGGTACTTGGCAGATCCTCCAACCTCCACTAAACCACCGTAAAAGCTAGCTTTGAGCGAGGCGCTCACATCCAGAAGGTTGGCCTTGTCACTGAGAGAGTCAGAAGCAGAAAATTTCAGATCTGTTTTAGCCTGCTCATGTACATCTAGATTCTCACGTAATGCTTTCTCATCCCACAAAGTGATGCCTAAAATGAGAGGATGATGAGAAGTGATCAGTGTATCAGAAATAGTGATTTGATAGTCACAAGTAGTAATAATCATAAAGTGAGTTTACACTGTTTTCTTCTCATAACTGAGAAGACATTTCTTTAGCTGTCATTTGTCATAAAAGTTGCATTTGCCAACACTGATATCAAATGGACATAACATCTATGCCAGGTAACATTAATTTTTTTCTGACATTAGGTTGTGTCTTCGCACTTTCTGGGGCTTTCAGACTTTGTAGCTGAGTCAAGTCAGCTACATAGCTTGCCAAGTTAGACTGGTTAAACAAAAGTGAGCATTTTCTGTGGCCCTTCAGTAAAATATGCCACGTAATCAGCATTATGTCACTGTAATAAACACAAAGCTAGTCAATTATTATAATATGCTAAGGCAATTTCACTCAAAAAAGTGACATGACACAATCCAATTTCAGAAAAAAAGATGTGTTATATCAACTTGACATCAAAATTGACAAGACCACCTGTATGACAGACTATGCCTATTGGAATAAGCCTTTATATGTTTATGTAGGTTTATGTCAGTTGTATTGACAAGCTTATGTAGGTGATGTGTAGCATTATGTACACTGCCCCACAGTAAAGTGTTAATTAGTTATCTTACCATCAGATACTTCACATATTGTGGAACTGCAGAAGGAGAACAGTGTACCATGATGTGCAATAAAAGATTAGGAAAAAAGTCTCAAATCTCACAATGTGTTTACTATGTAAGTGATGCTAAAAGATGAATCCAAATTAGGCTAAATTATTTTTTTTCAAGTGGTAATTTGCAGTTTTGTTCCAGTGATAGAGTTCTATATTCTTGCTGGAATGTTGTAAGCTAGACATTTAAAATCAAGTCTGGATGAAAAGCTTTATATTCTTCAAAGAAAATGAAACAGAGGACTGAGCACACAGTTATATCTGAAAGGCAGATTTACTTTGGAACTGAAATATGTTTTCTAAGTAAGGCCCTCCTGTATAGGTCTGACCAGACTGTACATCTACGAGCTGGTCCCTTGAGCACGAGGTCTGCAGGACTGCCTCTGCCAAGAACCACAGCAAACAGGCATTTAGCATATGTTGCTTATTTCATGATGAGCCAGTGTCATCAACAGTGTTACTATTCACTCATATTTGATGTAGGATAAAATCCTTTTTAGTCCAATTTTAGCCACATCATAGTTACAATTCCATGCAAAAGTGTTTTAGTAGGTTTTACAACATAACTGCTACTTACAAACCATAGATGTAGATTTGTGGGGGTGGGGGGTATGTTTTACCTAATGTTTTGAAAGTAATGATAACACGTTATATTATTAACAAATTTACCTGCAGGGTAGCCTTCTACATCTAAATGTGTACTTGTGTATCTGTGCGACACCTTTGTGTATCTATTTAAAGCTATATTACCCAGTTCTAAAACAGTGTTAGACCAGAGATCTCTCTGTGCAAATGTGCAAATTTGTGTGTGTGTCAAAGGTAAAGTGTGAGTGACCATGTTATCACCTTGTCTTACTTTGCTCCAGCTGCCACTATGGTATATCTCCACGAGACATTAAAGGTGAGCTTTTAATAGAGGCATTTATTTGTAGCCAAACCAAGACACAGGAAGGTACAACTCCCAGTACAAGACAATACATTCATCCCACACTAATTTAAATGTGAAGTAATCAGAGGAATAGTAAGTATATTACTTGCCAACATATATTGCTAATATTGCTGTAGCTAATATTAAACATACTTAGGCTAATGGTTCTGTGTATTAAAGATCATGGTAGTTCTACCTGGAATAAATGAGTCACTCTGGCAGTCGTACAGCATGCCAGGATGCAGAGGTCTTCCCAGGGCTGGCATTTCAATAGGTCTGGCATCCATAACTATGGCAAAGAGAAAAATGCAGATAAAAAATGCCATCATCTTCAAATTTTCAACTCCGCCAGTGGTATCTACACTATATGCCCAAAAGATTTAAGACACCTGCTCAGCAATACTTACTTCCAAAGAAATGATTAATAGGGAGTTTTTTTGCACTCGTTTTTATAAGTCATTTGCATGCAAAATCTAAGAACTTTTCTCAGGAATAAATTTAGTATGGAACTGAAGTACTTTTTCTAAATAAGATCCCTGTTGTCTAGGTCTGACCGGATGGAGAATCTATGAACTAGTTGATTGAATGTGTCTGCAGGACTGTCTCTGGCAAGAACCCAGTGTTGGCTGACAAACCCAATGCACTGCAAAATAAAAACAAGCTGCAAACACAGAAAAAAAAAACCTTGCATTGAAATAATAACATATGTGCTTTGCTCTGCGAAATAATAAAACATGCTGCAAATTCATAAGCGCTCTGCAAACTCAGAGAACACGTTCGTGAAAATGACTACACCAGCACTACGTTTGACAAACAAGTCGCAAATACAGAAAACACATGAAACTGCAGGAACACTGCAAAGTCAGTCACAACACAATGGAAATGTACACTGAAAGAAAACGGAGCTATTCAACGTTTTAAATCATATGCAGCATGAGCATTCACCAGTGAAAGTAAGTTTTATTTGAACAGATAATTAATGTCTAATGATTGTATCATCATGAGAATTAGCTATAGAATGTAACAGTAACCTGTTATGTAGCAATATCCGATATGACTGAAAACTACTGTAGCACAGCTATGACATGTCAGATGGTTGACTAGCCAGCCAAGTAAACCATGAACTTACTTGAATGTGAATGTATGTGGTTTTATCAACTTGTGTCAGTGATTGTCCATCTTGGATATTCCATATCCAAAGGAAATGGAAGACTCCAAAATGGACAATCACTGTTGTGACAATCAATGTTGCAACATTTCTGAAGTTGCATGTGTTTTCTGTATTTGCAGCATGTTTGTGAAATGTAATAACATTCTGTGCTGCATTTTACATTCATTTTAATGAAAGTGTTTTCTAATCATATATTGCGTTTATAAGTTTACATGTTTTTCATTGTACTTTGCATTCTGTCTTGTGGGCCACTGTAATGAAACCACAGCAAACAGGCATACCAAAATTACCAGTGCTGTCTGTTGCTTATTGAGCCAGTGTCATCAACAGTGTTACTATACCACTTATATTTGATGATGGATAAAGTCCATATTAGTCCAATTTTAGCCACATCATATTCTGTCTTTAGGACAAAAAAGCAATGTTTGGAAAGTAACATACTATGTTACATATATGTGATAACATATTATGTTAAGATTATTCATAACGTAATGTATGCAGGATAGTATGCAAATACATAAAAGTTCAATAAATATGGAGATGGCCTGGTTTACTATAGTAGTCTTTTAATATTGTAAAACTGACCATCCTAAAATCAGTGATGCCTATTACCTGCCCTTAATTTGCTCCAGCTGCTACCACGACATGTCTCCATGAAACAGTGAGAGTGAGCTCTCACTGGAGACATTTATTGGGAAACCAGGTGTAAGTGTATGCATCTTACACCAACTTGAAGGAAGGGTAGCAACTATATTACTGGCTAAGTGATATGGCTAAGATTGCTGTAGCTAGAGTAATGGTTTTATGTATTAAAGACCACAGAAGTTCTACCTGGCGAGACACAATCGCTGTGGCAGTCAACCATCTTGATACGATACAGAGGTGTTCCTGGGGCTGCAATCTATTCGACATCCATAACTACTGCAGTGTGAAACACAGGTACATTTTCATTTTGGTGAAGGAAGTGATTGGAGATTCCCCCCACTCACATATCCTTTATCTTTTATGCAAATTCACTTTTAAATCTTAATAATCATAATAATGTTAATAATCAATTCAGGCACACCTAATCATATTTGGTATGAGAAACCATAAGACAACAAGCTATCTCAGTGAATACTGGTATGCTTTGCTCAGTATGGCCTATGCATGCCTGTTCTAGGTGGCATAGTCGCATACAGGACAGAAGACTAAATGTCATCCATATTTCTCCTTTACTTCTTTTCAGAGGCTTTAAAAGATTTAAGGACTTATGCTGATGTTTTCAAATGTGCTTCTTCTCGCCATCCAATTCAACAGAAGCTCAGTGTAGCTTCCGTGTCCAGTGTCACCCAGAGGAAGGTGGGGTGCCCATTTTGAGCCTCGGCTTCTCTCAAGGTTTTTGTCGCTGTAAGCTTGATCATTAGGGCCGTTGAACCCGAACTTTTGTATGCTGGTTTGAGACACTGTTCATGAGACACTATCCATTACATTCATGTTCTGTAGATGTTGAGAACATATTTCTTACATCTAGAAATATAGTTCTTTGGCCTTTGTGTCTCTGTGAGGCCTGTGACATATTCCTTGAGAAAGTTGTTGGAACTGGGTTTTTCTATCCTCATAAAACTGGATGAAAAATGACCATTCAGAACCCTTCAGTGCCTTGGGTCTGACTCAGAGCAACTCTTGCTGACGTCATTAGGATGAGTACATGGGACACTTTCTTTTTTGACTGAATCCCACCAGTGACACTGTGTTCAATTATGTGTCTGAACCAGTCTGCATTATAATTGTTCTGATTTGTAATGATGAAACAGCAATTTTATATGCAGACTGTCTAATTTACATATACTCTGCATAAGGGTATAACTGCTTTGAACAAATCTTTGTTAGCCATGGAAGATACCTGCAGATGCTCTCACCCCCACCCACTCTCTCTCTCAGAGTTTTAGCCTGCTTGACCTTTCAGTCCTTTTCAGCTCATCAGTCCATTCAGTTGCAGCTGCTTGCCCCTCTCTCCCCTCTCCCTCTTCCCTCTCCACTCCTGTGCTGCCAAAGCCAAATGGGAATCAGCTGGTTCTCATTATGAGGCAATATGTGCACTTGAGTGAAGAAGGAAAGAGAGTTGGCTGCTCCGCCTCCCAGGTTACCACCCTTGCTCCGCAGCTCAGCCACCTACTACATATTGCTCCTGTACTGCTTGTACCTAGATGTAGTAAGCAGCAGGATTTGACCAACATGAATTTCCCCAGTATGCCAAAGATACTCGGATGACGTACTGCTCCAGCTAAAAATTCCAGTACACAGCCAGAGCTATCTCCATGATATAATGCATCCCAAAATGCAACGCGGTCTTTTCAGGAGCACGTAAACACTAACGTAACTGCCTGGATATTTGTAACAGCCCTGGATTCAGACTTTTTATACAAAATAACAGCAAAATGAAAGAAATTTGTCCAAATGCCGCTTCCACGCAGAAAGCCACAAAGCTGAAGCCACACCAGCTTTGCCCTCCTTTGCTGGTCTTGAGGTGGATTTGCTGACTTAATCTATTTAATAAAGTTAATGTACTGCATTGATAATGTGGTTCGCATGGTAACTTACTAGCTAAAGTTGGTCTCAGCAGAACAATCAGCTCATCATTGCACAACAAAAGTCTTGGAGTAGGTTAATATTAATAAATTCTGATATATTGTGGAGTTTTAATAAAATGTTTCCTTAAATCACTACCTTCATTATTAAATGAATTATAATCATACAGATAAAGTTGATTAATAAAAGAACACTAATATTCTCACTAAGGATAGGCCTTGATTTGCTTGTAAGGGACTTTAGACATTGGAGAGTCCCTGAAACTTTAGTAGCGTCTAGAGGCCAGTAAGCATTGCTGACACAGTAAAAAACAATGGCGAGCTGACCCTCGAAGAGTGAAGTAAGCTGATAAGAACCTGTAGAAACCAGTTTTTGGAGCCAGTTAATAAAGCAAGAGTTAAACTGATAGCCTTAAGAGGATGGAACGGCTTGGTACAGCCAAGCTAGGAAAGTTTTAAAAAATCGATATCACGTATGTTTGGAAATAAGGATTTCCAAGGAAAGTGCAGAATCAGGATATAATGGGGACTAAGATGATATGAAATAATGTAAAAGAGAGGGGTGATTACTTCATCACCCCAAACAGGATATAAAAAAGGATGTTTTGTGATAATCTTTGCACTGTGGTTGTCCGGGAATCCAAAGTTATCTGGTAATATACGATCATTGTGGTCTGCAAATACATATCCAAAGCAACATATCAGAGCAGGGAAACATCTTGCTTTTTGGGCTTTAGAAATAACATGCCTTGTAATAATGCAGAATGACTCACCACTGACAGTCACTGCTCGAAAAGAAAACATGCATGACGATCTTTCATCTGGGCAAACTTGTCAAAAACTTTTCTCCACCAAGTCCACCAATCCATGAATGAATTCAAGTGATAGCATAACAAGAGCAGGCAAGGAAAGCAGAAAAGTGTTTTTAGCTACACTCACAGTTAGCCATGTTTTTTCTCTTGAGCCTTTCTGAATTGAAGGAGCAGTTTTTGTCCTTTCTAGACTGAATGATGTTGAACTCCTCTGGCTGGTGTGGTTTCAAATGTTTAGTCTCTAATATCTGCTCTAATGACAGGGTACCAAATTGAACTTTTATTAGTTTTTCGACTTGACTCACTATATTGCCTTGCTATTATGAGTGGCTACCACAACTGATGAGGAACAATAGCTTGCTGAGTAGCAACGCCTACACCGTAAACAATGTCTACTAAACATCTGGATATATGTAAATGTATTATCTTTTATTGGCTGATCTCAGCATGGGGCCAACGTGATCATGCCCCACAGCGTTGAACATGCGCAGCGTGATTTTTAACTGCTTGCTTGGTTAGACGAACGCTGAGAGGCCGGCCCCATGCTTACCAAACTAGTCTGCTAGGAGGAATAGGTAGGCTACTGGCATTTACACAACAGGAGGATCATATCAGACAGCCCTGTCATTGTCCTATGTTATAGACGCGCAATAATGTTAGTTACGAAGAAAAAAAACAAAAACAAATTTTGACCATTCTTCTACCAGCGCATTTGTGAGGTCAGCTTCTACCAGCG